TCATTCAGTGTAAACAAACAACAAAAAATTACTATTAACTACCTGCCTATCACGCGTAAGGCATTCTGTTATAAATGAGGTTCTACTCTACACAGAGTTTACGTTATGGTGAGGGGAGATGAAATATGCATAAATAACAATGATACAAAATATTATCTAAGTGTATAAAGAAGTATAAAATACTTTGAAAGATCTTTGGAAGGATAGATCACTTTTGTCATGGAGTAGATTAGGATGAGAGAAGGTCTTCAGGAGATAACATTTTAAGGAATGACCTGTAAGGTTTCAACAAGCAGAGGAAGGAAGAGCAAGAGAAGGAAGGCTGTTTCAGCATCAGCAAATGAAAGGAAAGAGGAAAACCGAGGACATGATAAGTCATCTAATTTAAATGGAGCTGATGCTTAGTTAAAGAGGGAAGAAAAGGAGAAGGTAGAAAAAATGGGCTAGAGTATATTCTGTTTAAAGTCCTACATGGCTTGTAATGAAATGCTCTTAAATTTTTAAAAAAGCTATTTTTGAAGGCTAACAACTTTTCTAAATGTTATATCTTTTAGAAACTAAAATACATTAAAATGGCATGTTATTCAAGACGATAATTGCACTATCAAGGGATATTCCCATGAATATAGGAAAAAGAGTGGAGTGGATATGATTTGGGAGGCTCCAAAAAGATGTTTTTGTACTAACACATTCCTCCAACCACATAACCAGGTATCCAAAATTCCAAATTAATCAATTAACAAATAATCCTTTGGTGTTCATTGTGTAAAGGGTAGTAATATTTTTAAAATGAAATTGGCTTTTCCTTCAAGGAGTTTCCATTCTATTGGTTAGAAATGATATATAAACGTACACAAGATAATGCAAGATAGCTTGAGAAGAGAGAAAGCTAGGGGAAATCAATGAAAGTTACCCAGAATAGGTGGCACTGAAATGGAGCTCTGAAAGGAGATAAGAATTCTGACAGGCAGAGATGCAGGAAATGTATATTTTAAACATTGAGAGGAACTTATGTAGATCCATGGAAGAGTGAGATGGAATGCTGAGTTTTGGAGGGAGATACTAATAGTTTGTAACATAGAGTGCAGGGAAATGTGAAGTAAGACTGGATAAGTAGGTTTGAGTCAAATTGTGATGTTTTATCACTTCCAGGTTAAATATAAAATCCTCTATTTGACTTTCAAAGTCCTTCATAATTTGGCCCCTTTATACTTTTCCCATCTTGGTATACTTCATACTCCTCCAAATATTCTTTGATTCAGTAACACTGACATCTTTACTGTTTCTTGTACAAGACACTTCATCCGCAGAGTCTGGGCCTTTTTCACTGGCTGTTCTCCACATCTGCAATGCTCTCCTTGGCTTCCTTCAAGTACCAGCTAACATCCCATCTTCTATAGGGAGTCTTTTCTAATCTTTCTCTATGCCATTGACTTACCTCTTTTGACTGTCTCCAATTTATCCTGCAATTTTAATTATTCTGCTACATCTAGTATATTCTCCAATTAATTATTTGTTCCAGATTATTTTCATTTTGTCTCTCCCATTAACCTGTTACCTCCTTGAAGGCAGGCATCTTTTTTTGACCTTTCTTTATCTCCCCAGTTCTTAGCACAATGCCTGGAACATAGTAGGCACTTAAATGTTTATTGACCAACTAGGTTAGCATATACTTTATCCTACAGGCGAAAGGGAGGCCCTGAAGGTTTTTGAGCATGTGGATGTGTTAGGAAGATCATTTTATTAGCTGCATGAATGTGAATAGTTTAAGTGAATTACTTATAAGGAAAATAGTTAATGGACAGCAAAAATTATGCTGACCCATATCTTGATATTGAAGTTTAACCAATATTAATAAATTCCTACAAAAAAGTAAACCAAAAAAGCCTAAAAAGAACTTGATAATAAAACACTTAACTTAAATGCCAAGCAGAAAGAGATGGCTGTCAGATGTGACACTAATTCAAAATAATAAAATCTTATGAAGAAGCATAATGGATAATCATGAGTGGTGTCACCTCATTACGGAGATGAGAAGTGGAGAGTAGAACAAATTTCAAAAGAGCTTAACAAAAGATCCACCTCAATAAACTTGTCCAGATGCAACTTAAGGATAAAAATTGAAAGAGGACAATAAATGTGAAAATGAAACAGAACTTTAAGAATTTTTTCATAACTATCTTTTTTCACCACTAATAATCACCACACTTGGACTCTAAACTGACCATTTTTTATGTGCTTACAGAAGAGGTAGAAATGACACTGAGAGCAAAAAATGGCAAATGTACCCACATATAAAATGAAAGTGATCAAGTGTACAAATAAGAAATCTGTGCTATATAAGTTACACAGTTCTGGGAGTGTTGAGGAATCAATTTACAAAGTGTGTGAAGGAATGAAAGATCCCAGAGCTGTGAAAAAATATCTCAAACATTATTAATTCCAAAAAAAGAGAGATACCATCAAGAATGTCAGCACCTAACAACCTATTGGCCTACTTACTCATCTCATCCATACATTCATTGAAGACATCCTGCATGATGATATTAGCAGTGAATAGGGAGGATTTTACAAAGTAATATCCTATATCAAACTACATCTTGACTTTTACAAATGACTGAAAGATGTAGAGAACATAAAATGCCATTGTGCTTATTGTTTATTAATTAAAAGCACATAATTTGGTGAAACAAAATAGTGCATCAAAGTAGGAATTCTTAACCTGGGGTCTATGAACTTGGATTGGGAAAAATATTTTGATAACTGCATTTCAATTATCCTTTGTACCACTATATATTTCATTTTGTTCATTTAAGAAGATTATTCCCAGAATGGGTCCATGGGCTTTCACCATACTAACAAAAGTCTCCATGACACAAAAAAGTTTAATCTTTGCCTTAAACATTCCCTTCCATCAGTATATCTCCCATTTGCACATCATAAGCATTCAAGATTGATTGAAAGATATAATAACATAAATAAAAATATTTAACCACCTCCTGATCATAAATATCAAGCAAGGTATAAAACAAGGTGATGATGCTTATGATATGTGTTCACCACTGTGTTAGAGGATATCCATCACAGAGTCCAAGTTGGAGAGAAATTCCTTGTGGTTGTGGTCTTCCACATGTTCTTGTTTGAGAGTAATGTCATATTGTATCAAGTCCCATAATCTCCTGAATAAAGAAAGATCTATAATCACTCAACAGTTTGGCCTGACCACCAAGTCGGGAAAGACCAAGTGGTGGAAGAATGTCCGTCACCAAGTGTGTGACATGCAGAGAAAGCTTGAAACATATATTCATTTTCCTTAAAATGTCAGCAAATATTGACTACTCATTCAAGAAATTTCATCACAAAAGAAAAAAGGATGGCATGAGATCTAGAAAGGATAGAAGTAACCTTCCAAAGATTATTTTTTAACGATATGAGAAAACTGAAAATTTTAAGATAGAAGAAAAGGAGGCTTTAAAAAAATAAAGATAGGAGCAGCTAGGTGGCACAGTGGATAGAGCTCTGGCCTTGAAGTCAGGAGGACCTGAGTTCAAATTCGACCTCAGACACTTGACACTTACTAGCTGTGTGACCTTGGGCAAGTCACTTAACCCCAATTGCCTCACCAAAAAGCAAAAATTAAAAATAAAAATAAAGATAAAATGGTGTGGCGGAGGAGGGGGAACATAGAGGGATAGATATACTAGATGCTACCCACTAGGACTGATATGGATGAATATCAATAGGGCATAGGAATAAGGCAAAGAACACAGGGCAAACACAAGACCCTACAAGAGAAGAGGAGAGGTGAAAACCAAAAAGAAAAAATATGATTCATCAAATTCCATCTCTTCCTATTTCACTGGAGACCATCTTAACACTTTTTAAGTGCATTTTCCAGTGATTATTAAAGGGAATGCACTAGAATCTTTTTTGCCAGCAAGATTCAAAGTGTGCATATGTGAACTTTAGAAATAAGGTTTTTTTGCCATTAAACTGCCAATCCAGAGCTGTTAAAAAGTTTTCTCTATAGAATTCTGAAAGAACTTCTATCAAGAAGAAATATAAATGGCCACCTTTTATTTCTGGAAAACAGGTGCAGTCCCCTTGAAAAGAGGAAAATACGTCAACCTCAGCATGGGAACAAGAAGGAAAACAACTAAAAAGACCATATAATTTAATTACACTAGTGTCTCGCTTTCTGTGAAAGAGAGATTTGATGCAATTAAAGCACCTGTGACAAATAAAATTATCCAGGGGGTATTTTCTTTACACTTCTCTATTTTTTTTCCTGGATAAAGGGAGAGTTAGGATTACATTATCTCTGCCAATATAATTAGGTTTCCTTAGTCTCTTATTTCTTCCAGTCCCTTAGTATCTGGCTGATATCCCATAACAACAGAAATCCATCCTCCACTAATTATCTATAACTCAGTGGGGCCTCCCCTCCTTATGTATTTTTAAAAAATCAAACCAAAAAGAGAAAGGAGATTATTTATTTACAAAAAAGTGGAGGGGGGCACCAAATGACGTAAGATTTAACCATATCAAACACAAACATTTCATTTGTTTCATAACTGATCAATTGATTGATCAGCCCTAAATTGCAAAGCTGCACCGTCTGGTGTTATAGAGAAATTAGAAACATCCAATGATTTGTCTGCTTTAATTTGCAGGTTTGCCCAGAAAAGTGATAGCTTTTCAAGAATATTTCATGTTCATTTAAGTGGAATTATTTTCCTTTGGACTTTTAGGTTAGAACAGTATATAAATACAATGAATTTGCCATGCCATTGAACTTAATTTGGGAGGTCAGCAGGTTGAGGGTAGTGGGAAGAATTGTGAGTGAAGAAAGACATTGTCTTAAGCAATGTTTTAACAGACTCCAATGCATCATTTTTGTGTAAATATGAAAGAGGAAATGAAAAAAATCAGAGAAATTTTGGTAGGGAATCATGGTTTTCATTGTACTTAGGTCAATTTTGGTTTGTTTGTTTTTTCAGCCATCTATGAACTCTCCTGTGAAGCTTATAAACACCTAGGCAAAACCTCAAATTTTTACTGGATCGATCCTGATGGCAGTGGGGCTCTGGGACCTCTGAAAGTTTACTGCAACATGACAGGTAACTATGTCATATTCATGTTTTATGAAGACAATTTAATGATATGTCAAGAATAAAAGGTATCCAGTGAAGTTTAGTTTTGTATTTTACTGTATTTTTTATTCTAGCAGTTTACAAATTAAATATTACAAAATGTTGTGATAACCACACAAATGAAATCACAGCTATCCAAAGCTACAAACTGGTTGTCAGAAATGTGAAATTCTTCCTGTAAGTGTAAAGCCTTAGAGCACTACAATAAGAAACCTTGCATTCCAATTTAAGCAATCAATGATAAGCATTAAAAACTCAATACACAGAAGAAAGGACCCCAAAGTTAAATATTCTAAGTCTGCAGTCAATTCAGTGATTGGGCAAAGTGACTATTGAGGCAGTACCCTTAGTTCATAGTGCTGGGGAGATAACTGAGGACTGTGTGATTGGCTTACATAAACATTTTTAATAACAGAAACTGATATTTCCTTATTATCATGTGCTGTATTCTGATTTTTATTGTTATTCATATGTCTTTATTTTTATTTTGGTAATGCTACACAGAAAATGAGAGGGAATGTGATATAGTGGACTGAGAATGGCCAGGAAGATCTGGGTTCAAGTACCAGCTCTTAACATACTACCTCTATGACCATGAGAATTGTTGAATCTTTTAAAGTGTCTTGTGACTAAGCTCTCTAAGGCAAAGGCATCAAAGATACAGTCCATAGGCCACATTTAGCTCATAATATCCTTGAACCAAATTAAAATGTGATTAGGTGATATTTGACATAATAAAAAAGATATGGTAGATTTTGTTACATTTTGAAAATAAGTTAGCATGCACCCTGCTGCAATCCTTATATACAGATTTTTGTTGTTGAGTTGTTTCAGTCATGTTCAACTCTTTGTGACCCCATTTAAGGTTATTTTTGTTTGTTTGTTTTTTGTTTGTTGGTTTGTTTGTTTTTGACAGGTACTGGAGTGATTTGCCATTTGCTTCTCCAATTCATTTTACAATGAGTAACTAAGGCAAACATGATTAAGTGATTTGCCCAGGGTCACCCAGTTAGTAAATGTCTGTAGCCACATTTGAACTCAGGAATTTTCCTGACTTTAGGCCCTGCACTCTCTCCATTGAGCCATCTAGCTACCCTATGTACTGATTAGTGACATCTTTTCTATTTAATTTTCACACTATTACTCTAAGACTGTAAATTTGAGTCACACTCTTATTTAGAGGAAAGAGTTTTGAAGTTGGAATGCTACCTCATAGTCCTGGGATTGGAATGGGAAATCCCAGCTCTACCACTTAGTGTATATGTGACGTTGGACAAATCACTTAACCTCTCTGGCCCTCAATTTTTCATCGTCTGTGAAGTGAAAGCGTTGGACCAGTTGAGATCTAAGTGCTCAGTCAATGATCTCATGAGACAGATTGACAATAGTTTCTGTATGAATGGATGGAATTTTGACAGTGAAAGATCTCTACACAAACAAAATCACTATCTGTTATTAAAAAAAAAAAAACACCTTCAGCATCCTTAGCCTCTACATCAGGGATGGGGCTTTGTAGGTCCTCAGGTACGGCCTTTTGACTGAGTCCAAGTTTTACAGAACAAATCCTCTTATTAAGGGGATTTGTTCTGTGAAATTTGGATTTGGTCAAAGGGTTGTACCCAAGGACCTAGAGGGCCATATGTGGCCTCAAGGCCATAGGTTCCCCACCCCTTCTCTACATCATTAGGATCTTAGGGAAAACCCTAGCTCTTCCTTTGTCCATTCAAAATTAAGGAAAGCTATACATAAATCCTGAAAAAAGTCTGACAAGAAATATCCCTGTGATTCCCCAAAAACCATAGTTGGAATTCCTTACTTGGGGAACAGAGGAGAAGGTTCTGCTGGCTTGTTCCCATTGCAACTTAAGGCTACAGAATAAAATTCTAAGTCTTTGTGATCTTCTAGACTTTAAAGGTCCAAGGGTAGTTCTGATTCTTTTTTTCAGAGAAGAATGCAGATTTTCTTAGTGCCTTTTTAAGCTATTAGAGTTTATTTACTATAGCTATTAAACTTTGAAACAACATTAAGATTTTCAGAAAACCCTATTACATTGGCCCCTGGAAACTGTTTTCTTTCATCATGCCTGAGTAAGTCAAGTCAACAAGCATTTATTAAGTGCCCATTATGTATTAGGCACTGTGTACAATTTTAACCCTAGTTATGGAAGCATGTCATCAAGAGTGATCAGCTGACTTTGAAGTTCTACACCACATGTATCAGACTAGCAAAGATGACAAAAGAGGCTCATGATACATATTGTGGGCACTGCAGGAAAAAAGACTCACCAGGACACCATTAGTAAAGCTGCAAATTCCAACCATTATGGAAAGCAATTTGGAACTATGCCTAAAAAAGTTACTAAGCTGTGGATGCCTTTTGACTGTTAGGCCTTTACTTCATACTGAACAAAGGAAAAGGAAAAGTACCAATATATACACAAAAAATATTTTACCAGCTCTTTTTTGTAATAACCAAAAACTGCAAACTAAGGGAATGTCCTCTTGTTGGACAATGGCTGAACAAATTATGGCATTTGAATGGAATGGAATATTGTTGGGCCATTAAGAAATGACAAAATGGACAGTTTCAGAGGAAACTGGGAACTTCTTTCAACCAGTGTAGGTCAAAGTATAATTTTCTTTGCATAGCATTCAAATTAAAGTCTCATTTGCACTTTGGGATTTTATAGCCCTCTGAAGCAGTCCATCTAATTGCTTTCTCTAATACTACTTTGTTTTGTTTGAGTTGCTAACAGTTTCTCACTTTCATAGTCTCACTGAAAATCAGGGTTCCACATGGCTTACATGTGAAATTTCCTTGGATGTATTAACTTACATTTTTTTAGTGTACTCCATCTGACCTTCTGTCTGTCTTTCTTGTCTGTCTCTGTCTCTGTGCGTATCTTTCTCTTTTTCTTTCTCTTATCCCTCCCTCTTTCTCCTTCTTGTTCTCTATCTCTCTTTCCTATTTCCTTCCCCTCCTCCCTCCTATAGTTTTGTTTTGGGTTGTTATTTTTTTCCAGCCTTTCAAATGTATTTTTTTTTTAAATTCCTGTTCTTCTGATGATCCTGTCAATATCTCAGGAGTAAACTTGAACTTTCATTGGTTTATGTCATCTACTTATTTGGGCCACTCACCCTTTCTAATAATTATGATATTAACAATATATATTATATATATACATTAAGTATATACCCACATAATAATAATGTGTATATGCAGTAAGGATCTGTGATTTCATCACAGTAGTAATAAGGACAGCTGACATTTCTATTGTGTTTCATATTTGAAAGTCTGTTTACATATATTATCACATTTGATATTCATAGATTGTAAAGTTGATAGTTTGGTTATTATTATATTTATTTTACCAATGTGGGAATTGAAAGTCAAGGGAGTTAAGGGATTCTCTCCAGCATATTGTATGAACAATGTTTATAAAAAAATATAGTTGAAAGGTCGGAAAAAAAGTCACTGATAAGTAGTAGAAAAAAAAGCGGACTTGCACAGATCTTCTAACTCCTACCCTGGTATTCCTTTCATTACACCATGCTGTTTCTAGATTATTAATAAGTAATAACAGGAACTAAAACTGCCCTCAACAGTATGCCTGAACCCTAGCTTAAGACCTTCTGAATTCTAAGCGTTGTCATTTGTTCACGTTTGCTGTCCCCGCTCTACTTGGCAAGCACTGTGACTGTGTTCATATTCTGGAAATTTCATTTCATTTTACAAGCCAAGTTAAAAGCATTTTGTGCTCTGGATTATGAAGTGTGAAGCCCAAATATAGAACACCTACTGTGTTTCTTCTTGCACTAATTTTGTGGTTTTATCAAAAAAGCTATTGAGTTTGTTTACATGATTTGTATTTTATAAAGCCCTGGGGCCCAACTGATCAAATTCTATTATTGTCCATAATAGTATGAGCTTAGAGAGACCTGATTACTGTAGTTCCTAAACACATTACACAGAATATGCTCAGAACTTTGACGGGGAGACTTGCTAGAAAAGGGATAACAGTGCATGACAGCACCAGTAGGATTAGTTCAAGGTAAGAAAGCCAATAACTCAACTGTTGTCTCATCCATACTGTTAGTAGTCTCCATGCAGTGTTAAAGAATTTTAGAGTACTTAGAAGGCTATAGTATCAGGATTTAGAGTTATAATGGAACTTAAAAGTTACTTAATCCAACCACCTTATTTTTCAGATGAGGTAAATGAGAATTCAGAGGTAAAGTGAGTTACTCAGGGACACCAAGCCTCTTGGCTAATTTCAGTTTCTGGGTTTTGTATTTTTTTTCTTCCTTATCAGGGAGAAAAATAAAACAAAACAAAACAAAACCTAAGGGTTTGCGTTTTTCCATGTTCAAGGTTATGTAAATTTTTAGACTTAAAAAGACAATGCCACTAAGAGGTGATATGGTGTAGTCAATTCAAGTCTTTATTTAGAAATTAACTGTGTCACTTTGAGTAAATAAATTTAACATCTCTATACCTCAGTTTCCTCATCCATAAAATGATAGAGTTGGACTTTATGATCTCTAAGATCCCTCCTATCTCTTGAAATCAGTGCTTCCATGATCTATAATCCTATGTCTATGAGATATAGGCCACCAGCCTTACTCCTGAAGGCTGGGTACAACCCTAGACTTCTTGCTTTCCTGACAAATAAAGGAAGACATGGATCTTGGTATTGAGATATTTAATATACATGAGACTTAGTACAACAATCACCTGTGACATCATCCTTCTCCAGCATACCCCACTCTACTCCCATAATCTACCTACACATTATTGAAAGATAAACCTTTCTAGTCCCTTCATGTTGAGCCCTAATGAAGTTAAGCAATGAGGTCAGTGGCAGACATGGTTCTTAGACAGAGCGGAAAAAGCATAAGACTAGAATTCAGAGGATCCATGTTCTGATTCCATATCTGTCAGGAAGGATAGCATAACCTGTAGCATAG